GATGCCAACAGACAAATTAGTGAATACAAATTTAAGCTTTCAAAAGCTGAACAAGATATTACTACCTTGGAACAAAATGTAAGTGTGTCTTAATATTTATTGTTATCATTACATTTGCTCTGTACAGTTGCACAATACTTTTTTCAACAAAACTATGAAAACGTATTTCCTTATTTGATTACTGTTTGTTCTTTACCTTGCACATAATGGCACTATATTTGTATTTTTATCCATATTTCCTTCAATACGTGTGCGTAGTCTAACCATAAGAGAAAATCTGGAGTGAATTTACTCAGATGTCAATGTACAACAGAATATAAAGAGGAAGCTACTAGTTCAAGGAAATCAGTTTGTGTAGCTTAATTATTTGCAAAAAAATTGTATAGACTTTGGAAGGTATATAATTTACTCTCTGAAATTCAAGAGTCTGTTTTTATAAGTATAGATATACATACCCTCACCCATTTACACTTCATGATTGTAACTCAGAACATGGTATTAAAAGTTCAGCATCTCTATAGGTCATCTCAAAATCTCATAAATGATTGCAGTTTGAATCAGAGATGTGCAGTTGTTCTGTCTTGCATAGCAGCAGGCTAGTAGCCTGTCCTATGGGTTTGAGGGTAGCAAGGATCTGTAAGTACAATCCAGCAAGTGGGCTTTAACACTGGCAGACTGCAGCAGGATTTGTCTCAAGCCCTCTCTTCACTGCTGAACTGTGTGCTTCATCTCAAGACCTCTTGCATCGTGCCCTGATAAGTCTCCAACTTCTCATATGGTCTCTGCTTTCCAACTTTCCAGCTTTTGTTTTTAAGCCCCTGTATTCCCCATCTCTTCATTTATTTTTTTTTCTTCTTCCAACTCTTCACTCTGTGTAGTTCCTCAGCCTTCTTTATCTTCTCAGCTGTGTCTTAATGCTATGTTGCATTCTCTGCTGTTTCTTGTGACCCTCAACAGGGAGGGACAGGCAGTGAAGGGTGTTCCAAATTTCTGCCCACAAACTGTTTTAGTGTTTTATTAGTTATTTTAAACATTCTTTGAAATTATGGCTGATGCAAACACACACATCCTTTTCCCAGAGGGGGATTGTATGGATAATTCACAGGTTGCCTTGTGTTATGGTGGCTTTTCAGAAAATTAAAACCAGCTGGTGGCAGGTGAGCTTGGGGTGGAACACCTCAGTAATTGTTCCTTTTATCTGGTTTGGGTCTGCAGATTGCACGACTTGAAGGGCAGGTTACAAGGTATAAAAATGCAGCAGAAAATGCAGAAAAAGTAGAAGATGAACTCAAAGCTGAAAAGAGGAAGCTTCAGCGAGAGGTAACTGACTAATTTCCTTTTCAGCTGTATACTCCATGCTCCTTTCAGTCTTGACCTGCTCTTTTGCTCCCAAGCTCTGTGTTGTTTGTAGTCTTTGGTTACAGCTTTTAAGTGTTTTTTGAGGAGACAGTCAAGTCTGTCAGTGTTGCGTTCAAAAGACAACTGTAGCATATAAAAGTAATACTAATTACAATTCAGTGTAGTACTACCTTGAAAAGAAGGATCTAAATTGGTATTTTCTTCTAAATATGATAACTTTTACTGTTTTATACTAATCCTTCCATAAAAATTACTGGAAAGCTGAATGTTCCCTGTGTCAGTGCCAGATTGGGAAGTTTCCATTGTGCACCTCACAGGGAGCTGGGAAGAAGCTGTATTTGACTGAGCTGTTGATCATGCTTGCTTAAGAGCTGCTGTGTGACTATCCTGATACATGCTACCCATGGGAATATATATCCATGGGCAAGTGAGAGTGGAGGAGAGGATTTCACCTTTAAATAGCATGTGATAGGAACTTGCAGGCACCTAGTTCTTTCGGAATTAGTACATGTTTTATGTTTCAATTGCTTCTTGATTTTGTATTTTAGCAGTTGAATTCCAGTTCATCTGACTGCAGTAATGAGTATTGTGTCTTAGCTTATATGGTACTCTTGTAAAGCATGTAATACTTGTATTCTTGTTTGTTTCCTCTGTCAAAGCTCAAGAACAGCAGAAAGTCCAAGTAAACTTCAAGGGATAATAACTTTTGCTTTCATTTTATAGTTAAGAACAGCACTGGATAAGATAGAAGAGATGGAGATGACCAATAGCCACTTAATGAAAAGGCTGGAGAAGATGAAGGCGAATAGGACTGCGCTTTTATCTCAACAGTGAAGTGGAAATTGAAAATATGATGCACTGCTCCTTGAATAACTAGCCCCTAGCTTGTTTTTAAATACAGACTTTTATTGGCACAAATTATTTGAACACTGAGCTGTTCACTGGTGTTTTAGTTTCATAATTAAATGGCATACTTCTTTTTGTAACTTATGAGAGAATGAAATGTAGTTTGAATTCCCATGTGAATGACAGCAATTTTTCTGTAGCGTTTGATTCCAGAGTCAGAGCTGGAGCACAATGCTGTATGTGCAACTTTGCAATAGAAAATGGTTTTACAGCTGTGGAATCCAGTTTACTCACTGTCTCTTTTGGCTGCTTTAATGATGCTTGATGCTCGGAGACAACTGCATGAATTCAAGAAAACACTGTATTACTGTATTATAAACTAACATATATTTGCTCAAGACATCACACAGCACAAGTGCCTTTTATCTCGTGCAATTTAGACTTCATTGTTGAAATAACCTTTGAAATCAGATAACATTTTATTTTAAAATACATCTGGGGTATTCACTAGACTTTATACATTTTGAAAATGCATTTTTGTAAAATATTTAAATTTATAAGAAAAGAACAGGGAGTGTATATAAAAATCTGCTTTTTTTGCATGGGCACATCTGAGTTCTAGGTAATTTTGTCAAATACTAGGCCCTGATACTCTTAGTATTAAGAGTATAGATTTTAAAACTTTTGTTGTACACCATCAAATTATGTCATCTGCTTAAGTGTGAATTGAAATTTTAGGGTGGGAGGAAGGGGTGGGAAATGTGGCTAAGGAGTTTATTAAATGGACACTTTACTGACCAAAACCAGACATTCTGTGTTTTCTTTAAAAACAGAGATAAATCTGTGCAGAATAGGAAAGTCTGATCTCTCTGTTCCTTTTCAAAAGTATCCTTTTGGGTTTGAAATAGACTAAGGTCATTGGAGGTTTTTCTTTTTCTGATTTTTCTTGTCTTGGCCTGTTACTCTTTGACAGTGCTGCCATGGAGAAGGGCAGGCAGTACAAGGAAGAAGGTGCTTTCTGGAATGGTGTGGTCTTTTTATCTGTGGTGGTATGGTTTTTGTCCTATGCTCTGTAGACATTGAATTGCTGTTAAGAACTTGCACTCTTCAAGCTGGCACATCACAAGTGGGAAATGAATGGCACCTGCGGTGGCAGTTGTGGAGCATTTGAAGTGGCACTGCCCCCATGTTGGACTTCCCATGAGGCCAGCAGGAGCCCACCATTTGATCTGAATCATTCTTTCAGATTTGTATCAGATGCTTTCCTATTGCAACTTCCTGTTGCCCTGTTTCTCAAAGCAAGCCATATTCTAGAGCCATTGCAACGCAGAAGGTTAGTACTCCTGCTTATACCAGAGCTACCTTCCAGAAACAGCGTGGTCTTAAACAGTGTGGCACTGAAGCTTTGTCTCTTTTGGTTTAGGATACCTCTTTGACTTGGAAATAAAATGTTTTTCTTATTGAGAAACCTCTGTGTAAGTAGCAGATCTCCCTCTAGGCTTACTCATTAAATGGGAGACAGTTGTAGTTTGGTGATGACGTAGATTATTGTGCTGTTAAGTTTCTGATTCCTGGTGCGTGCTTGCTCAGAAGAAACTGTCAGGGTCGTGATTAATTGTGTATTCTGAAGATAAAGGGATACTTCAGGGGTTTTGAAAGTTTTCTCATGTGCAAAACTCGGCTAAAGCCTCATTTGGCACATAGTGGGGAGCACCTCTCCTTCTAGTTCACTTTGCTTACACCACCCTGTTGAAGCTGGATGTTTTATGGCACAGGGAAAACTGATTTCAGTACTAAACCATGGCAATCAGATAAGGGGCTCCTAACTCAGTTACCAGCCTACTGCAAAACTTTGTCTGGAGCACCAGTGCATCCTTTCTAAGTATTAAGATTTGTAGTAACCAGAACATAAGATTGCCAACATGTAGACTAACTGAATACTGCTGGATTCTGTGATCCAGTATGACTCTTAAGGCAATTGAAAGAACTAAGAGGGAGCAGCCCTAGGAAGAATTAATTGTAAACCTTTCATCTTTTTCTGAAACAAGTCTTACCAGAGGGAAATGTAATTATATTAATCAGATAATTTCTGAGATGCCTGCAAGGGGACAGAGATGGTTTTAGTGCCTCTTGTGTGCAGGGTTATGCCCACTTACGGCCCCCAAAAAGGTGCAGAGTTAGTGGCTGTAAGGGTGGTTGTAACATGGCATAATACCAGGGTTTTGGGTTTTTATTGAGGACAGTTTTTAACACCCAGCACTGTTTGGTCCCTCAAGCTTCTGGTGGGTTGGTTTGTTGTATGGGCAGTTGTTGGGGCAGCATTGAAAGATTTGGTGTTTGTTTAGGGAAAAGACAGCAGCACCAGAAAGGTAATGAGAAACTATGGTTTCCCCCGTTTGTCTTTTGTGGGACATTTCCCCACAGTCTCTGGGCTCCTAAATCACAGCATCTTTTGCTGCCACACTCCACCAAGACGTGAGTCCTGTGTGTCAGAAAAGAGCTGCTCACTGACAACCAGGAGTCCCTAGCTGCATACTCTTGATTTACACACACAGAGAGTAAAAAGCGATACAGGGGAGTTAAGTCAGCTCGAGCAGAACTAACACCACCCCCTCCCCGTGGCAGCCCCTCGGGCCCGGCCGCGCGGGCCCAGCCGCGGTTAGAGCGGTCAGAGCGGTCAGAGCGGCGCGCTGGGCCAGGCCGTGCGGCTGGCCGGGGATCCTGGGCCTACCCCGCCCTCGTGCGGTTCCGGCAGCTCTCGCAGCCTGTTTGCAGCTCCCTGTTGGGCGGCCGTTGTGGGTGTTCTCTGCCTCTTGTTTGTGTAGGTAGGAGTTGGCCATGTCCGAGCGGAAGATGCATAGAAGGAGTCAGGCCAACTTGAAAGAGCGAGTAAGAGAGAGAAACATGAGAAGGACAGGGCTGGGGAAAGCCTATGAGCCGTTGTCTGCAGGTGCAAATGGCGAAAGTAAGATGTTTCTGTTGCCTGTGTAGCAGTTTGGTGCTGGTTGCTGCCAATTTCCAATGTGTGACAATGGATGGTTCTCTTCCAGGCAGGCACAGTGTGCATCTGAAGAGCATCCTAGCCAACAACAGAGCTCTAGCCCGGGCTTTGCAGGAGGAGAAGCTCAAAGTGAGACGAGCTCGAGATGCCTTTCTGTGTTTGAAGAGGGAGAATGAATGCCTGAAGTTTGAGTTCTTTTATTTAACAATGCTGCTTCAATCATGGCAAATGTGGGCACCTGCTGAGGTATTTTGAATGCTGTCTTTGTTTTGCAGTGATGGGGAGTGTCAGAATTGTCTCCAGATAAGCCTGAGCTCTGTTTCTGAACTTCAGTGGCTCCTGACAAGTCAGTTAGCTACACAGGAGATACCTTGTTGGGTTTCCTATGGTTCTAGTCATTAATAGCTCCCATTTTTTTTGCTTATCTTGCTTCGGCAAGGAGAGTCCTTTTAGTGGACAGTCACAGAATCATGGAGTCATAGAATAGTTAGGGTTGGAAAGGATGTTAAGATCAGGTTATTAAGAACAGTCTGTGACACCTGATTTACATAAAGTTCTGTTTTCTCATAACATGATTGCAAAATAGGTATGTGTGGAGCTGATATAACTGCAACAACATGGTTTGCACTGTGCCTCCATTAGAGAAGTGTGTCAGCCTTATTTGGGCTCCCATCTTCAGAAGCTGCTTGGAGATTAATATAGTCCGTTGCTGGGCTGAAAAGGTCAGGAGGGTTGTGATGTGGGGGCATCCTGCCTTCCCATCTTTGTCTGGATCTTTACGGCTCTTTGCCAGGGAGGCTTCTCCTTTCTGAGTTTTCCCCTCCATTGCTTTCTTCCTGCAGACATCCACACAGTTCACCCGTGTAGGGAAAGAGAAGGGCTTTAAATGTGGCGGAATTTGGGTTTCTTTTCTGTCCTGCTGCCAGTCATCTGGAGCCTTGCCCTCCAGGGGGCCATCAGTCTTGTTCCAGCTGCTTACACTGAAACCTTTCTTGTTGGCAGAGTGCGAGAACGTTTCCTCCAGTGCCTCTAATGATTCCTGTTGTCACTGGACAGGACCATTGTGTGTAAGTAGCTCTGATTAATTTGTCTTGTCACTTCTCTTACAGTTTTCTTACAGTGAAGGCAGGGGAGGCATATGTAATGCATCAGAAATAATTCCTTGTCCTAAAAGCAATGTGTTTTTCCCCTCCCTAGGGGAGTTCCACGACATAATGTGGAACATGAAGAATTCCCTGAGAGTGAGATGAAAGCCACAGCAGATGACAATAGGCCAGCTGGCTGCTTTTCAAAGGACTTCTGTGAATCTGCCAGTGCTGATGCTGTAAAGGAAACAGACCCAGAGTGTGGTAAGGAAATCTACTGGGCATTCCTCACTCCTGAAGCAAGGAGGAGGACTGTGTGCCTCTATCTGCATCATGAACACTGCTTTGTAGTAATGGTGAGACAATACACGAGAATGAAGGATTTTTGTATAGTGGTGTCTGTGGTTGTACTAACTGTAATGAGGAGCAGGCTTGAATATCAGCAAAGACCAAAAAAGTTTTGAGTGAAGATGCTTGGCAGAATGGGAAATGAATTTGAAAGGTCTGACTTTTGTATCCCTGCCTCCTAGTGACCTGATCTACTGAACAGCTGACTAGAGAAATCTCCTTTTCTGTGGTCTGCTAGTGTTTATGATGAGCTACTTTTTCAAAGCCCAATATTTGAAAAGTCTTAATTGGACAATGAGTGTAAGCTGCAGCTCTAGATTCCTGGAGTCCTGCTGTTAGGACTCACGTTTTCCTGTGAGGTGAATACCTAAACTGTAGCCTATTTCAGGATGCTTTCGGGAAACTGTATTCACCCGAGCTTACCTTGGTGACCACACATTGGATCTTGCAGATCTTTTTAGAAAGTTGGTCTGGCTGATGGATTTAGAGAGTAAGCAAATCTTCTCTTGGTTGTTAATCTGTATTTCAGTAGGACTCTGTTCTGATTTGCTTGTTGATTTCCCTTCCCTCACTCCCTTGTTAACATAGTGCCAGAGCTGGAGACTGTTTCTTCAAATGAAGAATGTGGGCTATCTGGCGATGTGTTCCGCAAAAGTATGTCCATCAGGCAGTGCTATTCAGAGGTAAGGGCTCATGCTGTGTGTTCTTAGGGTTTTGCCTTTCCAGAGATATCTTGTTCATAGCCTTTTCCGGACAGGAGGAAGTTAGACTTGGGGACAGCCTAGAAGAACAATGTTAAAAACCCAAATCCTGGTATTTCTCAACAAAATAAGAGCAGAGAACTGGAGCTAGTGTTGAGCAGATGCTCAAGTGAATTCAATTGGCTGACTTGAGAGAAGCTAAGTTAAAGGTTCTGGAGTAAGGAGACTGCAGTATCAGGAGAGAAAGCTGGGAGATGCTGAAGAAGCCTCCAGACCAAGCCTTAGCAAAGGTGAAGACTTTACAAGGAAAGCCAGAGATGCTGGCTGAGTCATCATGGTGAGGGTGTATCTGAGACCTGACCACAGGTTGGGCAGTGTTGGTGAAGATTCAGATGGTGGCCTTCAGGTGCCCCATTATCATAAACTGTCCAACAAGAGCAGCTGGGTGGCCAGAACGGGAGCATGGGGAGAGTATGTAAGACCTGTGCTTGAGATGTGTCTGGCAGCTCCCAAACAGGAATTCCAGAGTGAAAGAGAGATGGAGCATCCTACAGCAAGGGCAAAGCTGGTTGGGAAGGGGAGTTTGGAAAGGGCTGTATCCTGATCGATTTCTGTTCTCTCTTGACTGTTTCAAGCTAGCTTCTCTTTAGAAATACACATGAAATGGTGCTGGAAACCTGATAGTACAGTGCCCATTTATGCAACCACTTGTTTTGTCAGCAAAAGAGGTAACTGAAGCTGGATACTGTGTGAAAAACTGCTTAAAACCAAACTATACTGTGTTGTTGTCTCTTTGAATAGGGGAGTCTTTCATGCCACCTTGTCAATGTCTTCACAGTGTTAACTGCATGGCATGCTTCTGCCTGAGCATTGGGATGCAGTTTTTCACTCATCACATGAAAGGTCACCTCTGAAATGCAGGCAATTTGATCCCAGGGACTGCGTGTATGTGTCCTACTTTTCAGCTTAATGCAGTGAAGTGCTATGTTCTTAAAAAGCAGGAGTTATTTGGGGCAGAAAGTTCCAATATGGCCTTTGAAGAAGGGTCTGGTATTCGTAGTACAAAACAGTTCAGAGCAGGATCAAATATGGTAGTTAGGAGTTGAACTGTTGATGTAAATAGAGGAGGGAGTGGAAGATGAAATAGAATCCAAACTTAGTTTTGCTGCATTATTTTTGCAGGAGTCGTAGAGGAGATGCGTTTGCAGATGAATATTATCTGACAGCTCCAATTTTCCAGCAGAAAAAAAGACTTTCTTGAAATAAAGGAGAAATGTTTTCATTATCACTGAGGTGTCCTGTCATTCTTAACACCAAGGCAGTTCATGATGGGTAAAAATGTCTCCTACAAATACTGTCACATCTGCACATCTGATACTAGGGACACAGGCAAAAGGTTCTCTTGTTTTCCTTAGTCCAAGGAGTGACTTGCTTTTAAGGAGATAGCTTTTGTGTGTAAGGCATAAGGTGACTTTGTTACAGAGGTGAATCTATTTGAACTCTTCTGGGAGAAATAATGTTTGTTATTTCTCATCTTAGTAAAATCCCAGACGGGTTGCAAGAAAGGCAGCCTCACTTGTCAATCACACTTGTTATGTATAGGAAACATTCTCCATTACACTGGTGCATTTGTAGAATTTATTCTCAGTGTAGCTTGTGAAAAGTCACTGAAAAAATGCTATGAATAATTTGAGACACATAATATCTACAGTTGCTTAAAAATGCACTAATGCTGTGTTGAAGATATGCTTCAGGATGTGGTGCATATAAAGGAGAGGTGGGAGATGCTGGAATGAATATGGTCTGAGCAACCTTATCTTGGCTGCCCTGTGTAGATACACCTCATTAACAGCTTGTTAATGGTATAGTTGCATATTTTATTGTCAGGAGGTCACTGGTGGTTTGGGAATGAGAACCCTGCAGAAGATGCTGTATTTGAGGAGATAATGCTCTTGAACATACCTTGTCTGTTCTGTTGCACCTTGTACTTAAGGCTTGAGAGGCCCCTATGTTCTTAACGCAATCCCTAATATCTTGAGGGATGGTAAATTGCATGTGGATCAAGGATTGGAAGTAGTTATGCCACCTGTGTGGCTTTCTCTGTCTACAAATATAGGAGGAAGTTTTTCTCTGAACCTCCTTTATGAATAGAGGTGTTTTTGTGTAAAAAAATTCTATCTCAACCAAAATGGAAGAATCTCTATTAATGGGGTCTGTTTTAAA